TTTAAAACAACCGTCGTGTTAAATATTTCTACCATGACGCGAGATATTGAGTTATCGACTTTTATTTAGGAGTTTACTACGGCGGTACCTACAACACTACTGTCGTATTATGTACCACGTCATAAGTTCAAATTAACGTCGTAGTTTGTCTATTAATACGTCGTCGTTATATGTAAACCGCCGTCTTATTACTATGAAACGGTTTGTATACATATACAACTTTTCGTCTACCTGACTTACACATGCACTGTTTCCAAACCCGAGAAAAAATTTCAATCTCCCAGAGAAAACTTTTCGTCTTTTTTCCTTGTCAGAGCACTGTCAGAGTATCTCATCGTCTTCCTCTTGTCTTCGTCGTCACCTCTGAACTTAAACACCAAAATCCGAGAGAAAGCTTTCATTGCACGCAAAAGGTAAGCTTTCATTTCTCACTATTTTTGTTGCTATTTTGCATGCTCATACTGTTTTTGTTTTGAAAATCTTTTTACCTTTTTTCGGGCGAAAATCATTTTTATTCTTTCAAGTTTGATAAAATACACAGAAAGAGAGGGAAAGTTTCAACTTTGAACACAACTAATTCAACTAAATAAGACGACGGTAGCTTTGTATTTACGTCGTTAAATATGTAGACTGTAAGTATAGATAAGACGTCGGTGGTTAATTTTTTCGTCGTTTTAATGTTATTACTACGTCGAAATGTTTTCAAAAACGTCGTGAAAGATCTAAATCTGGAATCACAACTCTGTTTTCTGTAAGTATAGATAAGACGTCGGTGGTTAATTTTTTCGTCGTTTTAATGTTATTACTACGTCGAAATGTTTTCAAAAACGTCGTGAAAGATCTAAATCTGGAATCACAACTCTGTTTTCTGTAAGTATAGATAAGACGTCGGTGGTTAATTTTTTCGTCGTTTTAATGTTATTACTACGTCGAAATGTTTTCAAAAACGTCGTGAAAGATCTAAATCTGGAATCACAACTCTGTTTTCTGTAAGTATAGATAAGACGTCGGTGGTTAATTTTTTCGTCGTTTTAATGTTATTACTACGTCGAAATGTTTTCAAAAACGTCGTGAAAGATCTAAATCTGGAATCACAACTCTGTTTTCTGTAAGTATAGATAAGACGTCGGTGGTTAATTTTTTCGTCGTTTTAATGTTATTACTACGTCGAAATGTTTTCAAAAACGTCGTGAAAGATCTAAATCTGGAATCACAACTCTGTTTTCTGTAAGTATAGATAAGACGTCGGTGGTTAATTTTTTCGTCGTTTTAATGTTATTACTACGTCGAAATGTTTTCAAAAACGTCGTGAAAGATCTAAATCTGGAATCACAACTCTGTTTTCTGTAAGTATAGATAAGACGTC